GATGATGAGGGAAGGCTGATGGATGGATGCACAATGGATTATGGATAGATGGATGGATGATGTAATTATGCTGGATGATGGATGAATGGATGGATGATGGATGGATGGATGATGGATGATGATTGATAGATGGATGGATTGATGGATTCTGGCTGAATGGATTATGGAAGGAAGCTGGATGGAAGGATGATGGAATGATGCTGGATGATGGATGAATGAATGGATGGACGATGATGGATAGATGGATAGATTGATGGATCCTGGATGGATGTATGATGGAAGGATGCTGGCTGGATGGACGATGGAAAGATGATGGATGGATAGATCATGGATGATGGATGGATGATGGAAGAATGCTGGATGGATGGATGATAGATGTGTGATGGAAAGATGATGGAAGGATGCTGGATGTTGGATGATGGATGGACAGACAATGGATGATGGATGGATGGCTGGTGGATGTATAGATGATGGATGATGAATGGATGATGGAAGGATGGATGATGGAAGGATGCTGGATGATGGATGAATAGATAATGGATGATGGATGGACAGATAATGGATGGATAGATGACGGATGGATGGATGACGAATGGCTATATGGATGATGGCTGGATAATGGAAGGATGCTGGATGGATGGCTGAATTATAGATCATGGATGATGGATGGATGATGGAAGGAAGTAAACTAATTTGAATGTTTAGGTTTTAGCAGCTACTAAAGAATTTACATTTTCCCACCAATTAATAAAATCTTAAAAAGAGCAGGGAACATTTTTTATTTAATATTATTTTATTTTCCAACTGTCAAATGAGCCAATGTGATCGGAGTCTTTTAGAAGAAAAGACAAGTTAAAAACAAAAGAAAGTTGTTCCATCAACAGAAAGAAATGTGATTTTATTTTTCAGTAAATATATAATTAAAACATTCAGAAAAATAAAACCTGTTTGATAACATTAAATGTTAAAATGTGACTATTTGATAAAAAACAACATGTTTTATGTCATCCGATGTTAAATTCTGAAAAAACAACTAACTGACTCAGCTTTTCCTGTGAATAGTCTCAGTCAGGGCTCGGTCTAACCCCTGGTCAGCTGCCTTCATACCAGCTCTAATCTAATGAGAGCGTTTCCATGGCAACCAGCTGATCGTCCACTCGTGGTTCTCACAAACATTTTCTTTGTTTCCAAATAAACTGCTTCAGTTTCTGCAGCAGACAAACTCACAGGATGTCGGTTGTTTAAATGTTCATGGTATGTACATTTTCATGTTGTGTACATGTTTATGTTGTTTACATGTTCATGTTGTGTACATGTTTGTGTTGTGTACATGTTCATATTGTGCACATGTTCATGATGTTTACATGTTCATGTTGTGTACATGTTTATGTTTACATGTTCATGTTGTGTACATGTTCATGTTGTTTACATGTTCATGTTGTGCACATTTTCATGTTGTGTACATGTTCGTGTTG